GTTTACATTCCCACCAGCAGTGCAGGAGAGTTCCTTTTTCTCCACATCCTTGCCAACATTTGTTGTTGCTAGTTGTTTGAAGATGTGCCATTCTCACTGGGGTAAGGTGGTATCTCATTGTGGTTTTAATTTGCATCTCCCTTATTACGAGTGATGTTGAACATTTTTTCATATGCTTGGTGGCCATCTGCATTTCCTCTTTGGAGAAGTGTCCTGTTGAGTCTTTTACAGGAGCTTTATGACCCCTTGTCTCTGTCCACTCTGAGTCACCATGTTGGCGTCCTTGTCAGACAGGGAGTAGGGCAGGAATGAGTGCGCAGGAAAGGCACCCAGCTATACAGCCACTGCTCTGCACACCCTGTCACTGCTGTACTGTGTTTCCAGGACAGTATCCCCATCTGGAACTGGGGTCCAGGCATAAACCCCTGGCCACTGGGCAGTTTGTTGTTTAGCTATTAGAACAAGTAGGTATTTGGGACACTTAATTAAAGATGGGCCTTCTTCAGTTGTTAAGTTCTGGTAAAAGTGTGTGTCTTAGGAGAAATGTGGAGAAAATTGTCTTTTTTTGAGTTTGTCTTGGTTTTGCTTATTTGAGTTGATGTTCTACTGGTGGCCATGGAGTTTCAGAAAATGCTGACATAAATTATTTTCTAGTAGAACATATAATTGTCTAGTTAAAAACTATTGGAAACTCATCTTAATTTCTAGGAAGGGAGATTAACTTAAAGAAATTTAAGCAGCAATTATGAGGGGGAGATTTGCTTACTAGATATATAGACATGAAGTTTATATTCTGTACAGAGAATATGACTCACAAATACAATAATAAGCCATTGAACAAAATGAAAAGTTACAATAAAGAAAAATTGCCACAGTTACATACAGATATAATTGGTGAGAGTTCAACATACAGAAAAAAAACAAGCTTCCAAGAGATGTTTAAACTGTGTCCATGCACGACCTTTTCTTCCAACACATTCACTCCTTGCCTGTGGTGAAATATCTTTATTTCCCATGTTCGGTCTAGAAAGCTATTAGAACTCTTGAGTGTGATTCATTTTGTTTGCAACCTGTCATTTCTGTCATTGAAGTAATAAAACCAGAGGACTTCGGCCTTTTCATCATTCTCTGTAGGTAACACAGGTGTTTGTGTGTGGCCCCTGCACCTGGTGCTGCTGTCATCACCTCCCTTTCATGTCTCTGTCCCAGGGAACTACGTGGTGACCGACCATGGCTCCTGCGTCCGCGCCTGCAATTCAGACAGCTATGAGGTGGAGGAGGATGGTGTCCGGAAGTGTAAAAAGTGTGACGGGCCTTGTCGTAAAGGTAGGAAGCCTGCTTGTGCACACGACCAGGCTTTTCCCTTTGGGGAAACTGGGGAGTTGGCGCCCCTCTAGGCCCCATAGTGTCACGCTGGGAATGAGTCTGCCCAATGTCTTCAGGCCTAGAAATCTGGTCCTTCGTTTGTACTGTACCCTGAGCTTGGAGTGTGTGCAAGCGTAATTTAAGCCTACTTATCCTTCACCTTTTAAAAGTTTGAAGATTTTCAAATACCCATCAGTGTTACAAGAATAGTGTCATGACTCCTACGTTGCTTTCACATAAGTGTTGCAGCTTTTCTGCAGGCACAGAAGGGCTAAATCTCAGCACTCTGAAGCTATCACCAGCCACTGCCGCGTGAGTTCTATCCTCAGCCAGGGAGCTGACCCATATGGCACAGCAGCCCTCTACTGACCCGCCTGCAGTGTATTCCAGTAGATAAGTCTGTTCTCCTCCCAACTCTGTCTCTGGTTAATCCTAAATAAATAAAATATTTTAAAGAATGAAGAAAACAAAAGCTTTTATTTTTAATTTATGCATAAAAAAATTGGGGGTGTAGGCCAGAGGTATAGGGGGTGAGAGACTTCACCAGAGACAGAGTGGGAGAGAACAGGCAGATCTACTGAAATATGCTGCTGAGGGGAGCAGGTGATGAGACAGGAGAGGTCTGCTGTGGCATGTGGGTCAGTTTCCTGGCTGGGAATTGAACTCAGGCTGTAGTGGTGATAGCACTGAGACTTAACCCCTAGGCCACCAGGGAAGCACAAATGCTGCAGCTTTTCATGTTTTGCCATATCGTTTTTGTTCCATGTCTGCATTTATATACTGTATTATGCATTATACAATTAGGACCTCAGCATGATGACTTTCACCTGTCTGCAAGGTTTCCCTTAGCATTCTAGCCAATCACATATAATTACCATATGATTTGTGGGAGGAAACCGATATTATAATAAGATAAGCATGCAATACAATTCAGTCGGCAGTACACAAAGGTGGGGGGATGTGAACCATTAAGATGAGGTTTGGGAGACCATCCTGAGATCCACGCTCTGTATCTGGAACATTCCTTTCCTTGCAGGGTGGGAGGGAAGTGTTACTTCTCCAGGCAGAGCCTCTGGCAGCAGATGCCAATCTGGAGAAAGCTTGAGTCTCCCAGGCATGGAGTCCAGAGGGTTTCAGATTAACTTATTTCATCTCTCATATTTAGAGGCTTCAGAGATGTATCATCAGAACCGCCTGTTAGTTTTGGCCTCGGTGCAGTTTGATCTGTCTCTATCCTTATCTGTGTCTATTTATCACTATTTCTCATAAACAAGTGGTCACTTTCATTTTAAATTGTGAACATAAGTCATTCCATTTCATTTACACCCATTTTCTGATCAGTCAGGATTATTGTAATTCCAGTGCATATAACATCTGCATGTATGTGTGTATGTTATCTGTGTGTTTTTCTGAAGCATGTCACAGTCGAAGATAGGAACATTTCACCCTCCCCATTAATGCTTTCCCACAGACAGGGCATTCTCTAATAACTGAATAAAGTTTCACACTTGGGATGTTAACATCAACTCAGCGCTACTTCCTGGTACCCTGTTTAATCCAGGCTTCACCCCACTATTCCCTGTATCATTTCCAGCTGTTCATCCACCCAGGCTTGTGATTTTCATTTAGCTGTGCTGTCACTATGCTATCACCCTGTTCCCATACTCTTCACCAAGGGCCACTTCTCAGCCCCTCTCCACTTGTTTGATTTTTCTCTTACATGACCAGGTGTTATGAAGACTCGAGGCCAAGTGTTTTACAGAATATCTGTCTCCCAGTCTGGCTTTGCCAGTTGTTTTTCCTAAGGTTGGGTTCAGTTAAGCGTTGGGGCAGGAGCGTTGCAGAACCGTATCAGTCCTTTCTCACTTCATCCCACCAGGAGGCACATCCCATTACTAAGATGACAAATTTGATAGTTTGTTCAAAGTTGTTTCTGTCACAGTTCTTGGTGGCTATGAGTCATTCCCCAATTCGGTCATTTCTTCTACACTTGTTAGTTCACATTCCTTTTTGGAAAAGAAAAAAAAAGACTTTCTAACATGTAAGTTCATTAAATCCTTCTTTAGTCAGTCTACTATAATCTACTCCTGCCATTATTCACTCTCATGTCCAAACCATCTCACCTGTGGCTGGCAGGAGTCTTTCTAGCTAGCTCCCTGTTGCTTTGGCACATCCTATATTCCAACCATGTCTTCTACTCAAAAGGTGCTACCCTACTATGTATGCTGTTTCTTAACACGCTCAGGAAACCAATCCAGACATGTTCATGTTACTCTTGCTCATTTCACCTTGTACCTCTTACCTGCCTGTAACTCAAGCCATCTCTCTCCTTTTCAGGGGCCTTAACATTGTTGCCACTGATTTGCTGTTGTAAATATTGCTTCCAAAAACAGCTGCTGACCTTGAATTGCTGCTTCAAATGCCACCTCCCCTGTGAAGCTATCTGTGATATCAGCTGAAAAAATTGTCCCTCTGTCCCAGTAGACATTCTGTACGCCTATCTCATGGCCAGACAACCTTCAAGTTCCTGTTGTTCTATCCTCTCAATCCCTTTGGGAAGCCTGTGCTAATATGATCCCCATTTTTCAGATCAGGAAACAGAGTCACAGGGAGTCTGAAGGGCTTGCCCAGGCCCAACAGCCAGGGTGGTAGAGTGGAGGTAAAGTCCATGTAGGCGGGTATGTGCCACCCTGCCTCATGACCCCTGGGAGCAGGTGAGTCAGGCTCTGAGCGAGGAGTGTCCACGGATTCAGAAAAAAAACCTGGCAGAGGAGACCTGGAAGAATCAATATAGGAATATAATAGGTGGGGAGGAGGAGCTGTAGCAGGGCAGGCATATTGGAAGTAGAAAGAAAAGAGTTAAGTCACTGAGGGTCATTACTACCAGGGATCAATAAATGGGTCTGCAAGCTCAGAGATTAATTTTGAATTCAACAAACATTTTAATTCTCCTGTAATCATTATGCTTTGTTTTTTTACCCACCCCTAATTCATATCTTTGGAGCAGTGGATGAATCAGATTCTTCAGATATAGGACAAGAGATACTGGGCAAGGAGGAAGTGTCAGGAAAACAAAGACTTAATAAATGCCAAATCTGATTTGTCTATGGGCGAATGTACAATTTATCTCTAAATTTAGGGCTTAAAATAACCCTCCCATCACACACAAGAAGAGCGAGAATGAATGTTCTCTCACACATGGAATCCTCCAGATCTGTAATTAAACAGCAGGTGTCTGCCCCAGGGCTTTCTTGCTGGAGTCACCTCCTTCTTCTCTATCATCAGTCAAGCCCTTAGAGTCCTAAAGAAACCTGGCCATTGAGTTCCACAACCCAAGGAGTTGGACCCAGCACCAGTCAAACCTGGAGACCTTTATAGCTGGCAGGATGGGCTCGCAGCCAGAAATGAGGCCTCTGTGCCACTGACATGGAATTCCTAGAATAGCAGAGAAGCTGGAGGACCCATGCTAAACAGGGAGGGTTGTAATGAAAGGATAAATCCTAAAGATAAGTACCAAGAATTGTGCTGTGACTTCTCAAAAATAAATGGGCTATGGGGTGGAGATGGCATTTGAGGTAGAAATTCAAAAGTAAATACAAATTTCAAAATGGGTTCAAAGTGTGGAAAGGCCATTTGAGACTGATGTAGCAATTGGACACATATTAAAGCATTTCATTCAAGTTAACACAGCAGAAGAAAAGCCCTTTCACTATGTATGTATTAAAAATATTACAATATTCCCTGTGATATTATATCAGACGGCCATTAAATATTTGTGAAGAGTTGTAATGATGGGACAAATATTCACAGCATAATAAATGAAAAAAATATGTACTAACCACATACCAACCATAGATGATACATGGAAGGAAAGTTTCAAAAATGTTGAACATTTCACACAGAGTGAAATTGCTGGTCATTTTGGTCTATCATCATCTTTCTGTTTTCAACATTTTTGAAAATACACTCTTGCTTGAAAAAAAAAAAAAGATCAACTCTGCATATTGCTTCTGTAATACAGACAACAAAACCCACGGGTTAAGGCAAGGGAAACTGGAGAAGTGCTTCACAGGGCACCATCAGAGTTATGCGAAGCATAACTGACAGCAGCAGTTTCATTGTGTTGCTGCAGAGAAAAGAAAAGAAGTTGGAGAAGTTAAGAGCAACTGGACACCGTGGTCCAAGTGAGAAATAATGAGGAAGAAAGCATGTGTCCAGGGAAGGCAGTGAGAGTGACAGCCTCTTCCCTAACCAGTATAACCCCAAGCCTGCTAGCTTCCCGCTACCTACTGGGACCCCATATATAGTTGTTGAACGACTGAACTGGTTCTCATGGGTAGAATTCCCTTCCTACCCACCCCTGCCTAAGGAACCCTTGCAATTATTTATTTTTTTTCAAATTTTCTTACATCATTGTTCCTAGCTATCTTTAAGCCAACAAATGTGAATAGAACAAAAATGTCCCTTATTTTACAGTTTGTAATGGAATAGGAATTGGTGAATTTAAAGACACACTTTCCATAAATGCCACCAATATTAAGCACTTCAAAAACTGCACCACAATCAGTGGAGATCTTCACATCTTGCCAGTAGCATTTAAGGGGTAAGTAACAGATTAAGTTCCTTATGTAGAGAAAGAGAATCTGCTTTGTTCATTGGCAGAAATTGTTAATCAATAACCATAATTACTTGTTCCAGTGACTCCTTCACACATACACTTCCTCTGGACCCAAAGGAACTGGACATTCTGAAAACAGTAAAAGAAATCACAGGTGTGTGCTGCTTAACACATGGACTTCAGGGGGGAGCATATTTACTCAGCGTGCCTGGGAGGGCAGGAATCTTTAAGCAAAGACTCAGTTGTTTATGATTGCACGTGAACATGTCTATCATGTGTCTCCCTGGCCCATGGCCATGTCCTAGTGGCCAGAACATGCATAGGCAGAGGGACCATGGACTCTCAGGCCCTTTGGACCGAACCTCACATGCTGTTCAGTCACTGCAGGTCCTAGGCACTGTCTGTCATCAGAGCGATACTTTCTTTCCTTCTAAGAAGAGAGCATTAGAGCTAAACATGTTTGTTTTGAGGATTTGTTTTGTTTGGGAGATTTAAATAAAGAAATATGTAAACTCCATGTATGTATCAGCTCAATGCATGGCCCGCTATCATTGAGAGCAGAATCCAGTTCAAGGTCATCAGATGTGGAACTGGCAACACTCTGGCCCCAGCACTTGTAACAGCCCATTGGGTGGGCATTGGCAGGGTACAGTGAGCTGGGGATGCCAGGGAGAGGCAGGATGTCCCCTCTCTAATGTGCCTTAGCTGGCATCTTCACACATGTGTACACATTCAGAGAAGATGATAAAAAGAACATAAATGGTCACACTTCCTGTTTCTGTTTAGTCTCTTGAGAGTCCTGTAATGTCACATACAAAAGTTCCCAAGTAGTGTGTGTTTTGAGCTATCCTTTTGCCTTGTAGGGTTTCTACTGATTCAGGCCTGGCCAGAAAACAGGACTGATCTAAACACTTTTGAGAACCTGGAAATCATACGTGGTAGAACAAAACAACAGTAAGTTGATCTTCACTGAAACCTTATAGATTAGTTTTTATTTTGAAATAAAATCTGTAGAAGAGTTTGAAATTAGATTTATAGAAGTATTTCAACAATAATGCAGAGTGGCCTGTATCCTTCACCTAGCTTCCCCTAATGTTAACACATTGCAGAAGCACAGCATTATTATCAAAATGAAGACATCAACAATGGAAGCTTCCCCTAGGGTTTACATCTTACAGGGACTTGATAAAGTCTGAAAATGAAAAATTAACAATGATCATTTTGTTAACATCAACATAAATTTGAGACAAGTATCAAAATAGATAAGTTAACAAGGAGACAGTACTATGAACTAAACTACAGTTTTTTCATCTGCCTTTATTTTCTTCTGGGGTACCTCACACTACAGTCAATGGTACATGTCCTTGGTCCCTTGCAATTTATAAAGAGCTCCTGTGTCTCCCCCTGTGTTTCATGGTCTTGACACTTGAAGTGTACTGCTCAGGTATTTTGTGGAATGGTTGATCTATTCTCACAGTTTGTTTGAGGTTATGCATTTTTGGTGAGAAGAGCACTGAGGTGACATCCTCATCAGCACATCGGTCTGAGACACGTTGAACATTATGTGTTGTCTCAGGATTTCCACTTTCTGAGATACAGTGAGGTACATACATGCACATGAGCATCATTGATGTGATAAGAGTAATGTGCTGTGGTAGGGAGGAGTTTGGACTCTTCTGGGTAAGCCTGCCTTGGATATAGAACTGTTTCCCATAACTGACTCCTAAGAGGACTTTATTATATTATATTAAATAAAATGGCAATGCACTACATATAAAGTATATGTTTCTCTAGTACTAGGCATACAGCTCTCATTGTTTCCTAGAAAAGCACCTTTGCCCCTAATTGTCAGGATGTTTCTTTGCCCAAGATCTGTAGGTCAGTTTTCTTGGCTGACTGGTATGTACCACTGGCATTAGTTTTAAGCATTCAAATAAAATGAGGATGATTTTTTTCTTTTCCAATGATGTTCAGGTTACAGACATAGAGTAACCCGCCTCCCCCCCCCCCGGACCTAGAGTATCACCCACCCAAGCCAGGCCTGCACAGCCGACAGACAAAATGTCCCCATTATTCTGGTTCTTCTGGACACATGTTGGGTCAGAATAGTGGTGCAAATATTCTGCACAGAGCTCCTCACTTTCCTCAGGAGCAAGGTTGTGGGATGTGAGAAATAGGAGTAGAAAGAATAGAAGGAAAAACAAGGAGTCTCCAAATTCTGTTTTAAACATCTGCCATCTCGTTTCAGTTTTGATTTCAGTCTCTTCATTCAGCACTGCCCATCCCCATTGGCGTCCATCCTCACCGTGGGTATCCCTATGGGTGTCCAATGAGCCTCCTAAAATACAAGTCTCTTTCTTGGGGTTTTCCTTCTTTTACAAGCAGCTCAAATTTCTCCAAGTCTTCTGTCTCTGACCTTTCTAACCTACCAGATGCCCTCCCAGTTCCCTTACCTTCCCAATTCTACCCCAGCTCCGACACTCAGCGCTCATCAGATCAGCACCACCTGCTCCTCCAGGTGCATCAGCACTTTCCTCCCCCTACTCTGAATAACTTTCATCCAGTCACTTGATATGCACATATTGATCCTTGTAGGATTCTAGCAGAGTTTTGGGTGGTGAAGAAAACATATAACTCCTCCTTCCAAGGATTTCATAGATATTGCCTCTTCCAAGATTCCATGCCTTCCCAGATATCCCTCCCCAGGCTTGCTTAGATGTCCCTACTCTTTGCCTACATGGTGCCCATTAGCTCCATCCTCCTCATACTGGGTTAAAATGATTTCTCAGGTAACTATCCCCAGACATGGATTTTATTGCAATCAGGAAGAGCCTATCTTTAATCAACCCAGAATTTGTCACATAATGCCGCAAATACTTGTTCAATAAATGGAGGGATAGATGTGTGGAGAGGATGGATGAATAAATGAGTGGATTCATGGATGAATAAATATACATGGATTGATAGGTGAGTGAGTGGATAGATTGGTAAGTGGATAGATAGGTAAATAGATAGTTGTATGGATGGATATTTAGGTGAGTACAGAAAATATGCACTTTATTTGTTTTTTATATTTAAAATTGCTGGCTTGCCTTTTGCATGCTAGAGAGGCTAGAGCATATTCTCTCTACTCAGGCAAAGTAAAAATGCAGCAAATAAAATTATGACATTTAGTCAGCCACTGGTGCCCACAATCAGTTTTTGAAAGTTGCAATACATATATTCCATAATATGGCTTATCAATAACTGGAAGGCAGGTTTAGTAAAACATAAGTGCTCCTGAAAATCAAAAAAAAAAAAGTTTTTGGTGATATATGTCTTCATAATTTTTCACAATGTTATTTTTTTCTCTCCAACTTAGTGGTCAGTTTTCACTTGCAGTTGTTGGCCTGAACATAACCTCCTTGGGATTACGCTCCCTCAAGGAGATAAGTGATGGAGATGTGATTGTTTCAACAAACCGAAACTTGTGCTATACAAAAACAATAAACTGGAAAAAACTATTTGGGACCTCAAGTCAGAAATACAAAATTATAAGGAACAGAGATGAAAATGACTGCAGTAAGTAACAACTTTGATTTGACTGTGGAGATGGTGCCAGTAGGTCTTTTATTTGGATTTAGAGTATACAACAGCCATTCCCAAACATTTAAACTACTTTTTCCTTTTCTGAAGAAACAATAAAAATATGTAAATTCCTTACTGTGAAGTTATCATGTGAGATTTACCATGGATCTCTCTCATTTCATAGGGTGAATTCACCTTGAAGTTTAATCTAGCAATTTTGGTGATTTAAAGAACTAAATTTAGTACTAATTTTTTTATGATTTAGTTATAGATTCTTCTACCTATTTCTGCCTCTACTGAGCTACAGATGTATGCACACACACAAATGTATGAAGATGTCCCAGAGACATTTTCAATTCTGATTTGTAGGCTCCCAAAGCTGACATGCACCCTTACTTGTTCTGGGACTCTGGCTGCCAACAGAAGTAGATCTGAGTTCAACTGCTGATCTGATAGCTTTGGGACCTTGACCCATTTATTTAACATCATTAAGCTTTGGATCCCTCATTCATGAACTGGAGGAAAGGTTTCTACACTATACTGCTGTTGAAAGAACTAAATGAAGTTCTGTATGTAAAGTTGTCGGCATGGCAGTTAGTGCCTGGCAAGCACCTACATACACATCTTCCCTATTGTCACCATCAGCCTATGACTTTCATCGGCAAAACCCCATCCCGGTAATGAAAAGGGACTTGTAGTTGACCTCAGGAAGCAAGTTGTGTCACTATGTTCTGGTTCCACCATGTCTGTGCAACTTACCATCACAGAGATACTGGCACCACACTACCGTGTTGTTGTAGCTCATTGTCCCGTGACTGATCTGCGGCCTACTCTGTTTTCTCAGAGACTGCAGGCCACGTGTGCCATCCCTTATGCTCCTCAGAGGGCTGCTGGGGCCCAAAACCCAAAGACTGCTTGTCTTGCCGAAATGTCAGCCGTGGCAAGGAATGTGTGGAGAAGTGTAACATTCTGGAGGGGTAAGAAACTTTTCATAATTTTTTTGATAGAAAATAAGACTAAGAATTACTTTTGGGCCCTCGCTGGTGGTGCAGCGGCTTAAAGCACAGCACTGAGAACCTAAAGCCACTTCTGCATGAGTTCGATTCCCGCCTGCCCCGGAGGTGACCACATGGTGTGGCAGACCTCTCCTGACTGGCCCGCTGCTCCCCTTAGCAGTGTACTTCGTTGAGATGCCTGTTATGCTCCCCACTCTGTCTCTGGTGAAACCTCTCGCTGCCCCTGAGCCTCTGGCCTGTACCCCAGTTCTGTATGCACAAATAAATAAATCTTTAAAAAAAAAAATAGTTACTTTTGTAGGCATAATTACTGAAAGTGATTCCTTCCCCCTCACCTTCTTTTATATTTTGTGATTTTGTTAATCACAAAAGAAATCATAGAAACTTTTATCATTACTTAATCCAATCCAATATTTTATGAAGTCTCTTTTACTAGAAATGTTTTTTTGCATTGCACAAAGTTCCTCACAGAAGTAAGACAGTGGCAAATGGTTCTACAGCAAAATCATAGCCATTTTGCTCTTTTCTTTGAAGTACACTCTTCCTGGTCAGATGTATTGACATAAATCATATTTCCTGGGAAATGCTTTTCTAAAATGTTCAAGATATATTGCAACAGTGCAAATAGCTTTATTTTTACTTTTTTTTAATGTGTTTTTCAATGAAATACTTTTTCTTTGTCGTAGTTAATTTGGGGGCATTATATGAATTCTCCTGTCAGCTGTGGTCACCGTAGTTCTCCTAGCACCCAAGCACCCATAGTCCACTGTTCTCTGTCTCCCCTCAGGCCTCCCTAATCCCACCTCTCTCTCTCCCAATACCCCTCCTCTACCTCTACTGAGACCTCAGATCCATGATCAACTTTCAGGTTGTCTTTTTCTGAACCTTTGATTTCGTTACATTTCACATATAAATGAAATAATCCAGTATTTATCTTCCCCCATCTGACTTACTTCATTTAGCATAATTCCTTCCAGTTCCATCCACATTGCCACAAATAGCACAAGTTTACCTTTTTTGATCACTGAGTATTCTATTCTGCATATATACCACCTCTTGATCCACTCACTTGTTTTGAGGCATTTAGGTTGTTTTCCATATCTTGGTTATTGCCAATAGTGCTGCTATGAACATAGGAGTGCAGGTTTCCTTTCAAAATAGTGAGTTTTTGTTCCTTGGGTAGATACCTAGGAGTGGAATTGCTAGGTCGTATGGCAGATCCATTTTTAGTCTTTTGAGGTTCTCCACACAGCTTTCTATAGGGGCTGGACCAGACTACATTCCCACCAATCGTATAAGAGGGTTTCTTTTTCTCCACACTCTCACAAGCACTTGTCATTTCTGAGAATAATGAAAATAACTTTAAATTTCCTAATGAACAAAGAAATAACCATATAATCATTGCAGTCAATGAAAAATAAGCTGCGATTCTATGGGAATCTTGATATTGAAAACTTTGGCCATGAATAATGACTAAAAATAAACTAATAAAATAATATTTCAGGATAGTAACAGAGGTGATATTTTTTCATTTGAAGGAAACAAGATAGTTCCATAGCAATTACAGATGACTATAGAAATTCATTTTCCTGTCTCACTATCAGGATTAGGGTGACAGGTGGGATTTGAAATATTCGGGAGCAGGAACAAGCTCAATTCTGTGGGAATCCTTTAGGTGAAAGGTCAAGCAATCTAACAAAATAAATTACATAAATGATAGTACTATAACAGCAAGTGAGAATATTAATGTAATCCTTACAGCTGCAAATAGACACTAATCTCATGTTTTCAATTTTCAAGTCTCAACTTTAAATAATTTTAATTGTTTAATTTTTTCAATTATAAGTAAACAAGGTAAGTAACTTAGCAGTGTTGGCAATGCCCAGATTTTTCCATGACAGACCTGGTGGTCTCCACCTGCTCCCAGTTCTAGCTTGTCCCAGAAGAATGCAGAGAAAGATGACAGGGTACATTGGGTTTAATTAGAGCCATGTCTTGAAAGGGGAATTTATGGCACACGTTTTAGGTGTAGAAGTTCTGCACACTGCCTGACTAGATATGTCTCCGTCTTTTCCAGATAGGTTTTAATTTTTTCAACAGTTTTATCTTATTGCTTAATATTATACATTTTGAAAAATTAAATAATTATTTTAAAAAATATGGCAAGAAAATTTTTTCACTGTATTTCATTCTTACTGATTTTAATAATAACCACTCACCAATTTTAAAGTTTTTTCCATCCCTTTTCTGTGCACTAGGCTGCAATTACCAGTTCTTTCCAGCTTAATTTAAATTTCCATGAATCTGATAAGGAGCCCGTAGAGGCACTATTTTTTTGCTTTCACTGTTAACATGCTTAAATGTATTAAAACTGCCTATAAATGTACAAAAACTGTGCCATAAATGTACAAAACCATGCCCCTAGGAAAATGTAGGGAAGTTGTTTTGATTGTAAATGAAGCTTACATGTTTATATTCTGGGAGAAGATGACCAAGGATCAAGGATTCATGTAATAGTCGCAGTTTATTATATCAAAGGATAGCTCTACAGCCCAACCATTTGTCTTTTATTTTTTAAAGATTTATTTATTTATGCATACAGAACTGGGGTACAGGCCAGAGGTGCAGGGGCGGTGAGAGGATTCACCAGAGACAGAGTGGGAAGCAGAACTGGCCAACTGACAAAGTACACTGCTGAGGGGAGCAGCGGGCTGGTCAGGATCTGCCACGCCATGTGGATCACCTCCGGGGCAGGCGGAGATCGAACTCATGCTGAAGTGGCTTTAGCTTCTTAGTGCTATGCTTTAACCCACTGCGCCACCAGGGAGGGCCCCCAACCATTTGTCTTTTATCTAAAACTGTTTTGAATTTCTGAGAGGTAATTGTATTCCTCCTGCAGGGTCAGACAGATCAACTCAGATAGTGCTCAGCTGTTGGACTGTTGAACTGGGATCTCTGGGGGAACTGATTGTTTTCCTCTCTTCTCTCAGGGAGCCCAGGGAGTTTGTGGAGAATTCCGAGTGCATACAGTGTCATCCAGAGTGCCTGCCCCAGGTCATGAACATCACCTGCACAGGACGAGTAAGGAGCTCATTGGTCATTCTCTCACACACAGGGAAAGCCTCATACATTGTCTCAGAACCACAACCAGGGCCCAGCCTCAAATCACTCCACAGCTGCCAAGAACAGTCATGTCTGCCAGCCTCCCAGAAGACAGGCACCATCACAGAGCTGGTCAGAGGCCCTGTGACTGATGACTGAGTCCAAGTCATCGCAAAAGCTGCCTGGCATGACCATCTACTTTTCTGTCCTGTGTCCCAAGACATATCAGAAACACAGAACTAGATGTGATGTGTCTGTCAGTTTTCACTCTCTCTGACATGGGTCATGATTGAGAACAATTTTAGAATGTCTCTCTAAATTGGGCGGAAGATGAGACAGTGTTTGAGGTATAGGCTGCCAACCGTGGATTATAGCTGTCTGGGGTTAAATTTTCATCTGGAGTTAAGGTGAAGGGTGATATTGACTCAGTCATATGGTTGTTCTGGCTCCAGGAACACACTCAAAAATGTAACAGTAGAGATTCAGCCATCAGGCACCCCTTTTATTTAAACACTTTATAAAATGTGTGTGGCATGACCCCCACAGTCCTGGACCTTTGCTTTTGTGAGTTTCACCAGGACATTCCAACACTCACAAATAGAATCAAGGTTAGCATGTTGCACAATTAATTACACAACCACCATTGCATTTACGTCGCTATCTGCTTGTCTCCAGAGAAACACTGATGTGGGTTTTCTTAAAATTACCTCAGTGAGTCTTACATCCCTCCAAGCTTCCCTTTAACTTCAAGTACAAATATGCAAGAAAATCCTCTTAACCAATAAGGATATATATGTGTGTCTGTGTTTGTGTGTGTGTGTGTCTGTGTTTGTGTGTGTGTGTGTAGAGATGCCAATCAAGATTGTTCTGAAAAGATGTCCACAACATTTAAAGTAAAATTAATAAAGTACACAGCATAATTTCTTTCATTTTTTTTTTTTTATTTCATATGCATGTACTGTCAGGAAGGCTTTTAACTAGGCCACTAGAGTGCCACACCAGTGAGTGCAATCACATATAAACCTCTTTCCTGCATTAAAAAACTATTATTTGACTTTTTCACAATAAGTATTTTAAGTAAGGATATAGACATGAATGCATTTTTCTGCCTCAACGCAGGGGCCAGACAACTGTGTGCAGTGTGCCCACTACATCGATGGTCCCCACTGCGTCAGGACCTGCCCCGCAGGAGTCATGGGAGAGAACAACACCCTGGTCTGGAAGTTTGCAGATGCCAACCGTGTGTGCCACCTGTGCCATGCCAACTGTACCTACGGGTGAGTGGGAAATGCAGAACAAAATGTTTCCTGTTTTGCAAATTCATGTGTGTTGGCTTTGTCTGCAAAGTTTCCAGGGAGTAAATTGCAGGAGTCTGAGTCAGCATGGCCGGCCCACGCAGCAGCAGCCAGTGGCCCAGGGGCAGCGCATGGCTCACGAGTACAGAGGCAAAATCTCAGCCTCTCGTGATGTTTGTATTTATTTTTGCTATTATGAATGACTCTTGCTTTCTGGTGTAGCTTATAGTTCTACTGCTAATATATAAACTAACTTAATTTGGGTGTACACATTCATCTTCTATTGAAATAGTGTTTTAGTTCATGACCTTGACTTTCCAGGAAAATCATCATGTCGTCTCCAATAATGATATCCTCATCTCTTTTCTAAAAGTTTTAGCTCATATTACAAGGGCCAAATTTTGCAGAATCATATAAGAGACAGTGGCTGTGGGTATCAGAAATTTTATTTTGTGATGTTGGGAATGACTAATGAACGAAGAACAATATTTGCTATCCATTTGAGATATTTATTATCTGACTAAGGGAATAGTCATCTAGTCCTAATTTTTAAATCTGAAGTGGATTTGGAGTTTTACTAATTTCCTTCTTTGCAACAACTTAAGGTTTTCATATCTTTCCCTTTGTGAGTATCAGTGTGTTGGTTCTATTAACTATTTGCTCACTCTAGAAAAAAATGGGAAAACTGCCATTTTTTTAAGTAATCTTTTTTTCATAGTCCCCTTAGAATAAGTCATTTTGGAATACATGCTCTGAACTGGAATTATATTGACTGTATAAAATAAACATTGTATCTTTCCTTCTTTTCCTTTTGTAAACAACCATGCATGTATTTGTGTGTCTGTGAGTGTATGTCATTGGGTTTGAGGCAGGGGTGAGGGTACCAGAAAGTTTTTGGGGAACTGGAATTTTCAATAAATTTACCATATAGAAACAATTCTTCCAAATATAGACAGAATTCATCAAGATTTAAATATAAAATGTGAATGGCTATGTGTTCTAATGTCTTTTTATCCAAAGTAAATCTTTATTATCTGACTTTAGTCCCCACTACAATCATATTTGCCATTCTGTGTCCCACTAAAACTGTTTCTTTCTACAATTTCTGTGTCTCCCTGTGTTTTAAGTACTCTCCTGATGCTATACTTTTGGCATACAGTTTCATCAGTATTTCCCTTTCACAAAAATATGTTACCTCCCTTATTCTTAGTCTTTTTTGGTTTTAGAAGAGCATATGTTTTTGTATAACTTTGTTATTACTATCTGTATCTTCTTCTAACATAACTAGTCACATAGGAATGACATGAGAAAAATAGATTTTTTTAATTTGTAAAATATTCATGGAGTAAAGAAAATGGAAAATTTGTATTTATTTTATTATGTGTGCATGATGGCCAGATTACCAGATACAGTCTCCTTGGTGCCCCACAGTGATTGCCTTTCTTGCCCCAGTTGCATGACTAAACCACACTTTAAAAGTTTTGCATTATTTACAATAGGGAAGATGTGGAATCAACCCAAAAGCTTGAAAGTAGATGACTAGATTAAAAAGATGTGGTACATATACACAGTGGAATATTACTCACAGTCAAAAAAGATAAACTCATGCATTGTGCAACAACATGGATGGAGCTGGAAGGGATCATGCTTAGTGAAATAACCCAGAAAGAAAGGAAAAATATCAAAAAATTCACTCATAGCAGGAGTATAAAGGATCAGGGGGGAAAAATAATAATAATGAACTATGTACCAGAGACATTTTAAGGGGTGCAGTGGGGAATGGGATCAAAAATCGGGGGGGAAGTGCACTGGACTATGGTGATGGCATACAGGTGATTTAGTGATGGGAAGCCCACAGGGATTACAACTGAGATGGGAAAAGGCACAAAATGATGTAAAAATAAACTATTATATTATAAAAAAAAAGTTTCAGTAATTCCCCTACTTGCTATCCAGCCTAAAACAGGGAGGCCTGTCCATTTCCAAAAGCCATCTCCCCACCAGGGCAATTCCCTTACCCAAGACAAAAGGTAAAGAACTTAAAGCCATTTTTAAATGGAACTGCAGTTTCCATTTATTTTTTAATTGAAAAACATTGTATCATAACATCCTACACTTTTCAGGTCCACCCTTGAAAACCAGCATGTATATATGCTACATTAAAGAACTACATTTTTTTAATAATATAATAGTTTATTTTTACATCATTTTGTGCATTTTTCCATCTCAATTGTAATCCCCATGGGCTTCCCATCACCAATCACCCATGTGCCATCACCATCGTCCAGTGAATTTCCCTTCCCCCACTGTTCTTGATCCCATTCCCCACTCCATCCCCACAAAATGTCTCTGGTATATAGCTGAAAGAACTACATTTTTATACTAAATTGTAAGGAGAAATTTTTTTTTTAATTTTATGCTAATAAACTAAGTCATGTAAAAATTTTGCCTATCTTAATTATATTAAACAAAAAATAAGCCTAACAGGGTCAGAAAATAATTTTTCTGGCCAAATCAAATGACAGCATGCATGATAAGGCCACTTTTACTTGATACCCAACAATCATTTTTGCAAAATCATGCCAGGGCAACCTCAGCTTAGGCAAGGACCTCTTAATCTTTTGGTGGTCAAACCATTCACTCAAGATCACCAGTCTGTCACCGTCCTTGTTGGTCATCTCTTCAAATGTAAAGTGGCCTTCTCTCTGAGCTGTTTCTTTAAGAAGAAAAAAAAAATACTTATTTTGCATATAAGAACTGGGGTACAGGCCAGAGGTGGGGTGGTTAGGAGGACTCACCAGAAAAAAAAAGTGGGAAACAAAACAGGCAGAGCTACTGAAATACACTGCTGAGGGGAGCAGTGGGCCAGACAGAAGAGGTCTGCCTAGGCATATGAGGGTTAGCCACCTCCCACCCCCCCACCCCACTCCCCAATCAAACTCCTGCCCACGTGGCCGGCTATAGCTTAATAGCACTGAGGCTTTAACCCCTGCACCACCAAGGAGACCCTCTGAGCTTCTTTGTCCATAGTTCCCTGTCAGTAATCCCTGCAGTTTTTCTAGCAACACTGTCACAGGCTGCAGAAACCCTGCATCTTCTCCAAAATTTGTAGTTTTAACCTGCACTCATGTTTTATCACATCCATTCTGTGACAGTCAAGGGACTGCCTGGCATCGTGGGGAAAATCCTAGTGAGGGGCTTAGTTTGAGTAGGATTTGAAAAAAAAAAAAAAAAGAGTGGTCATTCATCAGTAAAGATTGTTATCTGATGGCTTAGGTTGGCAAACAAGAAAGTGGGCTGTGAAATCAGGAACTTCCCTGTGTGGTCCCTGCTTGAAGAAGTCTGTGTCAGAACACAGACCAACCATAGGGGCAAGACTGAGTCGTCAGGCACAAGGGGAAGGGAGCACAACCCTCAAGGCAGACAAGGCAGAATGTAGCAGTCAGAACCTTTGGGTGAAATGGGAAATGTTGGATCAGGTGACGGTATCAAATGAGCATCCTAGTGCTCTTCACACTCTTGAATGTAGTGCTTTATGTTCCCTGTGGCCATGGGATGTCAGGATTTTCCATTTAACTAGCATATTTTATTTTCCTACCTATGTTAGTACTCACAAAGGTTGTTGCACTTCAAAGTCAACTTATTCTGTCCTTTAAGCTATCATCCCATCGTTAGAATGACAGCATGGTCGCCTCCATGGGCACCGGATGCTGGCTCTCAGGCGTCCCTGTAGAACAAATGTCATCCCTGCTTCACTGGAGGCTTTTCATCTGCATGAGGATACAGAGCCAGCTCCCGCTCTGGCTCTTCGGTTTGACACCATCAGTGTCATTTCCCTACCATGGAGACTCATGTCTCCCCTCAAGTGTTCCCCACTAGTTCTTAATCAGTTTGGCCCAGAAGTGGCTTTCAACTCTGCTCCTTAAACTCCCCTCCCCATAGTGACGAGCTGGTCAGCTGTACCTCCATCGACATAATACATGGAAATATTTCAGTAATGAAAGCCAGAAACTCTACTTTGTCCAATGCTAGAGTAATTCCTATCATAGATACTCAAAAATATGTGCTATATGAATGAACAAGTGAATAAGTACATAATGTATAAATGATTTACCACTGCCCAGTATTAAGTAATGCGATTTTATTTAAGAGTACTTTAAAATACGGTACCTTAAGAATTATTTAAGAAATGCATCAAGAAAAAAATGCTAAAAAGTGTGAATGATCAAATACGTTTTTCTCTTTTAATTCCAACAGCTGTACTGGGCCAGGTCTTGAAGGCTGTTCTACACCTGAGTAAGTAATAATTTGTGTCTGTGAACACAAGTGAACTGTCAGAAATAGCCACAATGCTAAGGATGAAGTTGGTGTTTCCCTGTATTGCCACCCACCTTCTTGCCTGTGGTTTTACCTCCTCCTCTGGGCCGGCAGCAGTCCCCACTGACATAGACCATACACTGGCTCTTGGCCTCCCCCACCCACTTTGTCCAGGACAGAGGACATGCAGTGCTGGGCTTCTCCAGGAAGCTGGGCTGTGTTCCAGCACTTAACTCCAAGAAACCCGGATCTAACTTCTCTCTTGTTTTCCTCACTAACTCAGTTGGCCCTACAAAGCCTTACGTTTCAAGAACATGAATTTCAAAATGCATTGGTTGGGGAAATGGAATAATGTAAGAGATGACTTTTGAACTCTCTAAGAAGAAAATGTCATCATTTTTAAAAATTCATTTGACCTTATTATAAGAAATTTGTAAGAACAATGCCACATGTTCTGGTGCAAATGATGTTATTAATTAATCTTTCAAACTCATTTATATTTCTCTTAAAAAAAATGAAACTCAAGTTCACTGAAATAACAGTCCCAATGGTAGTTAGATAGATTTTATTAGCTAATCCCAAAAAGATTCCTATCTGGGAAACAAATTTTACTCGGCGAGAACAATTCCAACAATCCCAAGTTTCAGTTTAGTTTATATGCTTGTAAGGGAGCAGACAACAAAGAAGAAGTAAAGGAATAGCAGTCCTTGGTGTTGAAATGAAGTTATCCCTGATGAGAGCATCTGGTTTTTAATTTATAGGTTTAGATCTTTCAGTTTCCTAAATTATCTTGAGCTAAAGAAAGTCAATACTATTCATGTACAGAGGAGGGAAAATGTTGGGGTTTAATCACTTTCTTGACTTCTAAAGAATGCATCTTGGAGACACAAAGGCTGGGTGCTTACTGTTAAATCTCTAGCTGGCTCCTTAATCATTCCTGGGGAGGTGAAAGGTTGGCTCCCCTTAGGCATCAGATTCCTGTAAGGCTGCTTCACAGAACAGGACAGAGCCTGTTTTAACTTTATGCAAATGGCTTTGTTCTCTTGCCTGCTAGACCAGGGAGGGGGTGTCCAGTAGTTAAAGAGTATGTACTCAATATCCTCCCTTTTGATCATAATCAATCTTTGTGACCAATATCATATGTTCCTTCTAGCATTCGGGCACCTGTACTTTACCTAAAGAAGCATGCTAGATCACATCCACCTCCATCATGAGCCAAACACTTAACCCTTGTACCCTAGTGCCTCATCAGAAAATATAAAATTAGACTTTGCATTTTACCTATCACTGACCATGTACTGGACTATCATAATTTGTGTATGTGTTATTTTTTTAAATCAACATAACTTAATTTTTGTAATAGACATTAACATACACAATGATAGTAAAGTTAGACTTACTTGTCCTATAATGAAAGGAAGGTAAAGATTTAAAACGACAGCCAATCCAACCAAAACTCCAGCTGAGACTTCATCATATTGCTAAACTGACTAACCTATTCCATATCCCCCTTTTTCAGTCAAGATTTGAACTTTATGTACATTGCTGTTGCTTTGTGGAGGATATCCATGAGTTCATTGTCCAGAGGTGTAGTTTCTCCTCAGGACATTGGGTCTCTATGGAAACAATTTTTATTGGGAGGTTTCAATTTTATCTCCCAGTCAGTATTATCTTAAGGTTGTTTATTCAATTATAGTAGTTTCACCCATTGTGCCTGTGTGAGATAGTTCAGCATTAAATCAAACAGTTGTGTGCAGTTTCTAGAGGCAGTTCTGTAGGTAGGCGTAAGCAGTAATAAGAAGCATATGGGGAGGAACGCAAATGTTAAATAGTGAAGCAAACAAGTCGGAAGTTCAAAGTGTATTCAGAGAGCAGTTTCTCCTGGGCTTCAGTGTCTCTGATGTCATGGGATATGTAGAAAACAGTAATCAGTCATGTCATGCAGTCATTGTAGTGACCTCTCTGAGGTTTTGTCAAGTTCTCTGTTTCTGGATTCTTGGTTTCAGAAAAGGTCCGTTGGAGGTTTTAATCTAACCAAGTCAAAGAGGTTAGCAGGAAAAACTGGAAACCTTAATTTGGAAAGTCATAACCAGATACTAAGTGCAATCCAGTTCACAGGGAGGTGGTTAAAAGCCTTTAAAGTGATTAAGAGGACCATGATCTTATTTCCACAGGAAGAAAGTTACTGAAACGTTTTTTCTCTCCACTCTTAACCCAATTCTACAAAATAACCATGGTAAAATTTCTTTGTAAATTAGGTCTTGGCCAGGTTTTCTGTTCGCATGTGTGTGTGTGTGTGTGTGTGTGTGTGTAAACAAACAAATACAGACTCTGAATTTGCTTTACTAGCATTTAGAGTGACTTTTTCACACCAGGCTCTCAAGGCTTGGGGAGTCATACCAGTGTATTCTTACCATAGATTTTGCCTGTGTTCCCTTTATCTTTGTGTAAATTTCTCTCTTCTTAAGATCCCCAAAAGTGGGATTCCTGGATCTGTTAAGGAGTTACCTTTTTACCATTTTCTGATACAACTTCTAGAACCTAAATATTTTCACATTTTGAGGGTTCAACTTATGAAAAAATGTAATTTACCATTGCTGCAGATCATAGTCAATTTAGGAGAATGTAAAAGTTGTTTTTTTTTAATATGGAAAAAGCAAAGCTTTTAATAAAAGAACTAATAATGTTTCAAACAAATCATTTAAATATATTTTAGTCCTCCATAGTTCATTCAGCTCATGTAGGTCTTGAACACTTGTTAGCAATTTTTAAGCCCAGTTTTTCCCATAAGTTCTGAAATTAATCCTCATTCAGTTTCATCATAAATCTGTATTTGATTTGCCAAAGTCCTTTTCCTGTGAATTTGTATACACAAAAACTTTAGAATAAATATCTCCTGTTAGTAACAAAAGAGCTTAAAATGATCATATTTAAAGATATGTTTATAACAAAATTAGCAAAGATGTTTTGTAGTGTGGCATATACTATTTTAGAGTAATAACTGAAGTTTATATGTAAAGTATAACAGAATATACAAGACTTTTAGAAATTTCATATAAGAACACTCACACTAGTACATGCTAAAGAGGTTGAACATTTCTCCTTATGTGACAGTGCCTACGATGACATTTTTATTTTTAGATTTATTTATTGATTCATACAGAACGGTGCACAAGCCAAAGGTGCGGGGGGGGGGGGGAGGAGGGTGAGAGGATTCACCAGGGACAGAGTGGGGAGCAGAACAGGCAGATTGACGAAGTACACTGCTGAGGGGAGCAGCAGGCAGGTCAGGAGAGGTCTGCCACGCCATGTGGATCACCCTGGTACTGGGGATCAAACTCACACGGAAGCGGCTGCTGCTAGCTTGCACTGCTGCTGCGTCCAGTTGTGCTACCATGAAGGGCCCCCATGAAGTTTTAATCCACTGAATAGTCTAATTCGTCTTTCCACAGGAGGAAGGGAATCATTTTTATGAGATGCCTTTGGAATTTTTTTAAAACTTCAATATTTACATAATGGAGAGATTATTATTTTTAGAATTTTTTATTTCAGAGCACTTTTGCCATAAATATGTAAATGTTTAAAATATTTTCATAGATTTATATGAAACAATATTTAATTATCCAGAGTGGCAAATATTTTAAAGCAAATATCTCTAGCATGGTTCAGCACATTATAGCTGACAGAATTAGATTTCTTTCACTGAACCAAGATTGAGAGTAAAAAATCAGATTTTTCTTACTTAAATTGGCTTACGATTTATTAGTAAAGCTGACCACAGTTTAAAAATATTTTGTCTTTTGGGGGAGGCCTCCTTGGTGGCACAGGGGTTTAAAGCACAGCACTATGAAGCTAACTACAGCCACAGCAGACCTTTCCTGCCTGGCCTGCTGCTCCCCTCAGCAGTGTATTTCATTCATGCTGCCTATTCTGCTCCCCACTCTGTCTCTGGTGAATCCTCTCAACCCCATTCCTGAGCCCCACCCCACACACACAACTCCAGCCTGTACTCCAGTTATTGTCTGCATGATAAATAAATCTTAAAAAAATCAAAAATGGAAATACCATATGACCCAGCATTCTCACTCTTGAGCTCATGGTCCACAGTGTACACAGCAGCATTATTTACAATGGATAAATCCCCTTCAAGAGGCAAATGGATCAAGAAGATGTGGTACCTACAAGCTATGGAGTGTTATATTGTCATACAGGCAGATAAAATGTGGCTGTTTTCAACAAAATGGAAAGAACTTGAGAGAATTACCTGGAGCAAAGTAAGTCAGAACAATAAAAGCAAACATTGGACATTCACACAGCAGACAATATAACAACCAAAACATTTTCAAAAGCTACAGAACTGAACATGGAAACATGAAACATCTGAGAGCTCTGAGATTAAAATGGGAAAGGGATGAAAAGATACAAAAAAACAAAAACAAACAAAAAAAAAAACAAGGGATAGTAGTGAGAAAAGAAAGTTTTGTTTATTTTTTTCAGTTATCTGAGAATTTTGGATCATATGGAAATTTTTTCACCCGGGGAGTTGAAGTGAACTAATTTATTAGTTTTATTTACTTAATTTATTATTTTTTTTGATCATTAATATACGCTGCAAAATATTAATCATAAAAGTTTTTTTGTAAAAATTAATACAATATTCTGTTGCTGGAACTAATTTTGGTCATCTTGAATTTGTGTTATAAAGAACCTTAAGAAGGCACAGTTAAAAGCAGTCTCTAAAGCAATTTCGGGCCTCCATCCTATGGTGTACATCTAGTGCATCTACTATCACTTGAAGTCAAAAGCTATAGAACATTCTTCTTGATTGATACAAAAACCAGAGTGTCAATTAGAACACAGTAAATGGCTTGAGTTTGTCTCTTTTTGATCACTGAGTAATATTCCATTGTGTATCTGTACTACATCTTCTTGATCCAGACATCTATTTTGGGGCATTTGGGTTGTTTCCATAGCTTTCC